TCTCAGACTCAATTTAACTGGGGGCCGCTGGAGGTAGAGTCTGGGTCAGGCTGTGCCGCATCAAGTATTCCACAAAAGAATAGTATTCAAGTATTCCAAAAAAGGAGCACAACTGATCCAATCTTCTCAATCTTTATTATTACCGTTTTTTCTGAACTGTTCCTCTGAATTTGAACATTCCTTTCTGTATATGATTGGTTCATCATGAGCAGTCCTTCTGACAGTTGAAGTTCATTTTACAAACTCTCTTTGTCTTTTCCATATACACAACATCTTTGTGATACTTATATTTGCACATGTCCTTTTTATTTTCTTTATACAACACTAATATTATATTGAATGTTTTTTTTGGAAGGCACAAGTCCTTATATTATAGGCTACTTAGAAAAATAATTATTGCTTTTGAAATACAAATATTTGCAGTCATGTCTGCCCGTCTTATTGAATTCTTTCTACACATGTATAGTGTCTCAGGCAAATTACTGACTTTGCACAAATCAAAGTAAACCTTCTTATCAACCTGTTGGACACATATTACAAGCTCAAAATGATTATTCTCACATTTTTTTAGAGCAGGGGTCTCCAACACGTCGCTCGCGAGCTACCAGTAGCTCGTGGCCTGATTGGTGGTAGCTCACATATTTTGCTCGCTCAAGTTCGTTATTTCAAATGTAGGCGCACGGCAAGCGCGCTCATAATTGAAGGGATGCGCTTATTTTTTCCAGGCGCAGTATGTTTGTACTTCGCGGTTGTCTATAGCCCCTTTCACACAGCGCTTTGAACCCGGCAAATTGCCAGAGTGCCTTCTGTGTGAACGCAAACACGACCCGGGATTGATGCTGGGATCGATCCCGGGTTGGGGACCTATAGTAACATTGCCGTGTTCAGACCCGGAACGCGCGCTGTGTGAACAAAAGCCAGAACCAATGCCGTATAAGGGGTGTGTCGTGGTGAGGATTCACGAGCCTTTGCAATGACGTAGTTATCATGTGGCTCAGTTACTCTAGAAGAAAGTTTGTGTTCGTCATCGATATAAGAAAGAACGAAAAAATGTCCGCAAACTGGACTGAAGTATAGACCCGTCACATCCAACGTCACGCGTCTTTCCGGAACATACACGGGTTGTACACGCGCTCTCTGATTCTGGCAAATCACTGGCAGTGTGAATGAAGCAAAATCAAACGAACCCGGGTCAAATCCCGGGGCACTTTATCCGTGTATTTTCCGGAATCTCTGTGTGAAAGGGGCTTATGACAACTATTGACAACAAACCCACCGTAATCTGTCACGAGATAGCCCATGGTAGCCCATAAGGGATTAAAAAAAGACGCGGCACACGCAACGATAGGCCGCACTAACATTAAACTTTAATGTCAAGTAGGGGGCCACAAAATATCACCCCGCCGACCTCAAATGGCCCGCGGGCCGCGAGTTTGAGACCACTGCTCTACAGTCTACACAATACGGCCTAGGGATGGGCGATACCACTTATTTTGTTTTCAATAGGATACCGATACTTTCAAGGCTAGTATCGCCGATACTGATACGATACCTCTAAACTGAAGTTTTAATTTCTTAAATAATTGAATTACTAAGATTAAAATGGGTAATGATACCAACTTAACATTATATTTGAAAGGCTTTTTAACATTCAATGCGCCTTAATTGGAATTTATTAGATTATATTTTTATTTACACATGGTTAAAATGTTTACTTGTAGGTGGTAACCATGGAAATCTACAAAATATTATAGGTCTAGTTGATCTATGGTCACTGTAATGTTAATTTTCATAAGAGACTGCCAGTGACAGGCTTTTGCTCCCATAAAATGCAACTGTAATACAAGCCCTTGTCGTGTGAGTGTGAAGGAAGGAGACCGGGGTTAGTTGGCTGAGACTCGTGGGTATTTTATTTAACAACTCAAAGCTCTGGCGCCACATGCGCACGTCGAACATAAATCTCATTCACAGTTTCAAAATACTTCATCAGGTTCGTCTTTCACCAAGTCTTCTTTCCACTTCCCACGAGCCGTCAGCCCTCCTCTCTCCTCGATCGCTGGTTTCAGTCTGCTTTATACGGTCTCCCCACGCTAATTACTGGAACGAGACACAGGTGTCAGTCATTTTACACTTGACCTACTTACCGCCGCTCGTCTCTCCACTCTCTCTCTCATCGCAGACCTCGCTGAACCACGCCTCCCCCGCCACATACCCCCACCGCCCGACTCAGGCCGTCCGGCCTGCAGCCCATTCCTAGAGAGGAAGTCTGCCACAGCCATCTGCGCCCCCGGCCTGTGGATCACCTTGAACTTAAAAGGCTGTAAAGCTAGATACCAACGGGTGATCCGCGCGTTGGTGTCCTTCATGCGGTGGAGCCACTGCAGGGGCGCGTGGTCCGAACAGAGGGTGAACTCCCGCCCCAGGAGGTAATAGCGCAGGGTGAGGACCGCCCATCTGATGGCCAAACACTCCTTCTCTATGGTGCTGTACTTAGTCTCTCTCTTCGAGAGCTTACGACTAATGTACAGCACCGGGCGGTCCTCCCCCTCCACCTCCTGGGACAGGACAGCGCCCAGCCCCCTGTCCGACGCGCCCTTAAATGCTCCACATGCCGCTGCCAGTCATTACTGTAGACGGTGATATCATCCAAGTATGCAGCGGCATACGGAGCATGGGGTCGTAGAATTCTGTCCATGAGACGCTGAAACGTGGCCGGAGCCCCGAACAACCCGAAAGGAAGCGTTACGAATTGGTGTAATCCAAACGGCGTGGTGAAGGCTGTTTTTTCTTTGGACATGGGAGACAAGGGGATCTGCCAATATCCTTTCGTTAAGTCCAGCGTCGAATAAAAGCGAGCCGTGCCTAACCGATCAAGCAGCTCGTCAATCCGCGGCATTGGATAAGCGTCGAATTTCGACACTGCATTCACCCTGCGATAGTCCACACAAAACCGTACCGAGCCGTCCGTTTTAGGAACTAAAACTATCGGGCTTGCCCAGTCACTGTGGGACTCCTCAATTACTCCCATCTCCAGCATTGCCTCTAATTCCGTCTGAACCACTTTTTTCTTGTGTTCAGGCAATCTGTATGGCCGGCCGCGAACTACCACGCCCGGCTCTGTCTCAATTTGGTGCTGGATCAGATTAGTACGACGAGGCAGGGGTGAAAACACATCGGCAAACTCTCTTTGCAACCTTGTGATGTCAGTGAGCTGCGAGGGCGAGAGGTGATCCCCCCCCCCCCCGGGGTCAGGGCGAGAGATTTCCCTTTGATGACCGCCTCTGGCCCGAGATCCTCCTCTCCACTCACTGCCGTCGCAAGCAGCACTGACTCCTCCTCACACCATTTTTTTAGGAGGTTGAGATGGTAGATTTGCCGTGAATCACCCCTGTCTGTTCGTATTACCTCATAATTGAGATCCCCTATCCGCTGTGTGACCTCAAAGGGTCCTTGCCACTTCGCTAACAATTTGGAGCTGGAGGTTGGCAGCAAAATGAGCACTTTATCTCCCGGTGTAAACTCTCGAAGCTTAGTTCCCCTGTTATACAGCCGGCTTTGTCTGTCCTGAGCCTGAAGCAAATTCTCCATAGAGAGCCGCCCCAGTGTATGGAGTTTTGCTCTCAGGTCCATGACATACTGAATTTCATTTTTGCTATCTGAGCGTCCGTCCTCCCAAGTTTCCTTTAGGACGTCTAACACCCCACGGGGCTGACGTCCAAAAAGAAGCTCGAAGGGGGAAAACCCCGTGGAGGCTTGCGGGACCTCTCGCACGGCGAATAAGAGGGGTTCCAGCCACCTGTCCCAATTTTTCGCGTCCTCTTGTACGAATTTACGAATCATTGTTTTCAACGTGCGATTAAATCGTTCGACCAGTCCGTCCGTTTGTGGGTGATAGACACTGGTACGCACCGATTTAATGCCCAATAATTCGTATAATTCGCTTAACGTGCGTGACATAAACGCGGTGCCTTGATCCGTGAGAATCTCTTTCGGGATTCCCACGCGGGAGATTAAACGAAACAGGGCGTCTGCCACACTCTTAGCTGATATAGTGCGTAGCGCCACTGCTTCGGGATATCGTGTTGCGTAGTCTACTATAACTAACGCAAAGCGATGTCCCCGTGCCGATCGTTCTAATGGCCCGATGAGGTCCATACCAATTCTCTCGAAGGGGACCTGCACAAGAGGTAGGGGGCGCAATGGCGCTTTTGGGGCGGCCGGTGGATTTACCAACTGACATTCCCGACACGACGCGCACCACCTGCGTACGTTCTCGTGAATGCCCGGCCAGAAGAATCGGGTCATTAAACGATTTAGTGTCGCTGTCATCCCTAGATGCCCCGCCATCGGATTACAATGTGCCGTCTGGAAAAGCATTCCCCGACGGCCCCGTGGTACTAACAATTGGGTTATATCTTCTTTTGGCTGAGTGTCTTGGGTCACCCGATACAACCTGTCTTTAATAATGGCAAAATAAGGATAGGAGAGCGCGCGGTCAGGCTGGAGGATCTGCCCATCGATGGAACGGACCTGTTCAAACGCATGTTTGAGCGTCTCATCTTGGGACTGTTCCAGGGGAAAGTCATCGCGGCTGGAGAGGTTTAACCTCGCCAAGCCGCTCGGTTCCTCTGAAACAGTTCCGCTGGGTCCAGGAACAGCCTCTCCAACCTGAGCGCTCGCCCCCCTTCCCTGCCTTTTCTTCCCAGAGGCATCCGTTGTTAAACATCCCAACAATTGTTTAAAAGCTGGCCAATTCGTTCCCAAAATTAACGGATGCCGGAGGTGCGGGCTAACTGCGACCTCCACACAATGATTTTGTCCCCTGAATTTAATAGTGATGGCTTTTAAGGGGTACTCCACTATATCCCCGTGCACACACCTCACCTTAACCATGCGGCCCGTATCCAATGCCCCGGACTGTATCAGGCTTTGATGGATGGAGGTCTGGTTACAACCTGAATCCACCAAGGCCTGATAGGTACCCCCCTTAATACTCACAGGTATCTGGTACAACCAGGCTTGATCGGGGACGGCCTGCGGAACGTCCGGGATCCGGACCAGTGTCCCAACCTCCATGACCGGGCAGCGGTCCACGAAATGGCCCGGATCCCCGCAACGCCAACAGGCCGGCCTAGGCTTCCCCGCCGCTCTAGTGGCAGGAAGCGGGTCAAGGAATTGGCATGGGGAGAGCGCAGGAACCGCGTCAAGCCCTTCCGGGTGTCCCGGCCCCCCTCCCCTGACGGAACCTCGCGATCCGGCTGGGCCCTCGGCTCCAGCCCTCCAGCGGGGAGGTGCCCTCGGAGGTCCATTGAAGCGGGTCCTGGGGAAAGGAACGGGTTTAGGGGAATGGAGAGAGAGAGAGAGACAGGGGGAGAGAGAGAGACAGATGGCAGGGGTTCGCCGACCCCCGAGCATGCCGCCAGTTGATCCTCCGCCAGTTGGATGGCCAGATCCAGCGACGCCGGCCGGTGGCACTGGACCCACTGGGCAGTCCTCTTCGGCAACCTGGAGATTAACTGCTCCAGCACCACCTGGTCGATGATGGCCTCGGCGTCGCGTCCTCCGGCCAACAGCCATTTGCGGCACGAGTCCCGTAGCTGCTGCGCCAAGACAAAGGGTCGGCCTGCTTCCGCCAGTTCCAGCAAACGGAAGCGTTGACGATGTTGCTCAGGGTTGAGGCCAACCCTTTGGAGAATGGCTCTTTTTAAATCGGCGTATACCAGGAGGTTCTGCTCTCGATTCAGTGAAGCGCATAGGGGATCTGCAACATCCTTTTGAACTATAATAACGATTGCTCGTTCAGTGCCATGGCCGCTGATGTTATTTATTTGCTATCATATCTGTGCTCTTTGCTCTGCATTGAGTCTGAATCTGACCACCAAAACTTTAAGATTAAACAAGACGGTTCATTTATATTATTATAAAAATGGGAGAAAATGTAAAGCGCGGTTTGGCGGAAGCTCTGGTCGCCATAGAAACATGACACGCGCTTGAGACTTCTAACGGCAGAGAAAGAGAGAGTGAGATCGCTTTTTTTTTCTTTTTGGCTCACACTTTCTTTACCTAATTTTACAAGTTGCAAAAAAACACAAGCAGTGCTGACTGACTCATTCTGACTCTGATCGAGTCCGATGACTCCGATCGCACGGGTATTACACACAATGTTAAACATCAAGGTCGGGTCCCGGGTCGACGGGTCTCGGGTGCACTGTGAAGACCTCTAACACAGACTCAGTTCCCATTTTTGGAAACCATATATAATTACAAGGGGAAATATTACCACACAAGGAAATCATTGTGGGGTCCATGAAGATGTGTAAAAATAGGCATAAATCTAGCTGACACATTTACCCAAATTATACCTTTACCCAAAGTTAAACACGCCTGTTTAACCGAAGCTAATTTTGGTGGGTTTCTCCCATCCTCATCCTCCCCTTATATTCACTCCTCTTTTGTTCGCCAGTGGCCTTTCATAAAAGTGAGGGAGCTCTTTGGATATTTGGAGGGTGACCAATGTGTCACTTTGTCTCTCTGCTGACCCTAACTAAGTGGTTTCATCTTTATACACCACCATGTCTTGCTATTATCCCAGGCCATGTCTGATGACCTGCATGAGTTAAAACTATTTTCTTCAACAGAATCAGTTGTTTTCTGGATCTCAGGGAAAGTGCATTCAAGTGTTAAAACAGGGAGAGATAAGTTACTAACTGCAGTATTTAATCACTATTAAACATCTTCAAATCAGCAAAATCTCAGTGCTGAGATTATGTGAATTTAGTTATCACAACGTCCATACAGTGTACTGTTACATCTGTATCCGGAGCCATCACCCCTGTATCATGGTGGAGACTGAGATTAGACTCATCCTATAATAAACTAGTCAAAAATGTCACTTCTATCGTTTAAAGTCTATATCATTATTTTGAAGACTTCTTTAAATTAACAAAGTTTTACTTTTAAAACATTTAAATACAAATTGCCTTCTAAATGTATAAAATCTGAACTGCCTGTAGGATGATTTCTTTTAACATCTATGATTTCCAACTTTATAAATAGCTTATTATCACTTATGACACAGGCTCAGATAGCAGCTTTTAGCTGACTTTGAATGAGAGAGACTGAGGCATTCAGGACTGGTACACTGCATTTTCAAACACTTGTAACATCAGACTTTATCTACTATCTGTAATGTTTTGTCTGAAGTTCCCTGATTTCACCACTAGATGGCATTATTTCTACCAAGTTTATGTTTCCTTAATTAATTGGTTGTCATACTCTCACCTGTGTTGAATTACACCTAATGATAAACCCTATTTAAGGCTTCACTGCATTTTGGTTCTTGTTCAGTCCTGATGTCAGCCAAAGTGTTGTCATTTCTAAGAACTTTTGGATTCGAGATGTTGCCTTCTGTTCTGCTCTGGGAAAGTATGTTTTTGTAACCCTTTTTGTTAGTGATGGGCAGATCGAGGCTTCGTGAAGCAATGAAACAGTTGAATCAAATGGTTCATATTGTTTCGAGGCTTCGAATCAATCCGACACCCGTCTCCACGGTGACACCTAGTGGTCACTTGCAGGTGTTGATCTGAAACAACCTTGACAAGCCATGAATTTTTTTTTTTTTTTTTTTTTTTTTTTACTTTTCTAATATGTGAATCTTGTAACCTATAGGCTCCTCATTGTGCATAATGTTATTTTGGTCCTGCAAAATGAATATTAATAAAATAAATCAAGCCACAATGTCTCACTTTTTTACATATTTTTATTTACTTAGCCTACTTCTTTTTTTACAGATAATTTCTCTAGCCTTTGAAAAAATCCTCTCACAAGGGACACTTGTTGCTGGCATGCAAAGATATTTTTTAGCTAATACATACAAATGAGGAAAGATTACTACTCTCTCTTTCCAGTAAGTTAGGGGATCATGAGTTGTGGGCAAATACGCATCGTTGAGGTATTTTTTCACTTCCACTGTGGCATCAGCTGTAGCATTGTGTATCATCTGGGTTTGATGATATGAGTATCAAAAAGTTCCCATAAACTGTCCTGTGTTTCTACTGGATGATGTATTGTTGCAGGCGAGCTGCCGATCACAATACACACATCTCACTTTATTTGGGGTTTCTAAATGGAAATGCTCCCACACCACAGATGTACGGCATCTCTTCTGGGGAGCCTCCATTTTATCTATCTATCCAAATCTATCTAGATATGTATCTCTAATCTATCTATGTAATTAGATATGTATAATATGTATCTATAATCTATCAATGTATTTATATTATGTAGCCTATCTTTAATCTATCTGTATCTATCTATCTATTAATCTAGCTGTCTATATATTTATATCTATGTATCTATTAATGTGTCACTATACTCTGTCTCTAGCCTATCAGTCAATGTGTTGTGTACATTTAAGCCTAAATATAACTAAACAAATCGCACTATAAATGTCACTATCACCAAAAATCCGCTATCTCAAAATCAAACTCCTCTCACAAAAACCCACGAGGTCAATATGCGTTGATTTCACTTTTATACAGATGTGCGATTGTGTGGTCTGTTGTTCCCGACCGTGTCAATCAAACGCTGATTCGGCGGATCACACCTGATGAAACTAGTGATGGCCGGTTCGTGAACGAATCGTTCTTTTGAACCGGTTCTTTTTAGTGAACCGGTCGAACCAGTACACTAAATCGGACTGAATCGTTCGAAACAGTTCGCGTCTTGCGTTAGTGCTGATACACAAGTTACTAAAGTTACTCACTTTCAGACATGCCTGACAGTCCCTCTGACTCGAAATAAACCAATATCCCGGAGTATATTTCACTCCAGTAAATCCAACAGTTTGAAACGTGCTGTTTTTGAGAGTGATGAGCACGAGCTGATACTGCGCATGCGCGTACTACCGAACGCACATGTACAGCGGTTATCGGATCACCAGTACAGAACCGAGAACTGTTTCTTTCGGACACGTTCGACATAATGAGAACAACTGATCGATGAGCTGAGCACGCGTGCAATTTTTTTCTGAGGGACGAAATGTACGTTTCTTAAGTATTTATTTAGTTGAACATCAGTAAGTGTAATAAAAAAAAACATGTTGGAAACATGTTTATCACATAATTACTGTATTATCACTGTATTATTTTAAAGTTTGGAAACACAATGAATGGATTGTAAACCTGTCAAACTAAACATTTATTAAAATAATATTTTCAGGAACTGCTCATTTAATTTCTAAGTAAGTTGATATAAATATTTGATGTAAACTCTTGCCAAAGTTTTAATGGTGCACACTGCACAGTACTGCTTAGTAAATGTTTATAATGTGTTAAAACATAACGTATTAAACATATTGGAGAAGAAAGACATGCATCGATTTTTTTAGTTTTGTCGACTGTATATTCAGGTTTCAGCAGTTCTCAGCTCAGCACACAGCCTATGCTACGGTTCTGGAGTCAAGAACTGGTTGTTGCAGTTCTTGAATCACCAGTACAGAACCGAGAACTGTTTCTTTCGGACACGTTCGATACGGAGAACCGATGAGCTGGAGATACTGAGCATGCGTGATAGCACCGTCTCTAAACAGAACTTTCTTTCAGCCAACTGATGATGTGCTGATGAGCACGCAGCACGGGTGAACCGAGGACTTAAATGAGGGGCCGAATTCGGCGAAATGTAAGTTTATTACAAATAAAATGATGAAGACCACTTATGCACTTTATATATTTAAGACATGTTAAACATCCGCGTTTGCACATCGCCTGTAGGCTACAGGGTTCGTTTGCAAAATGTAAATGTAAGAAACTTATCCAAGAGGATTATTACGATGAGTACTATTATTTAAGTGAAGTTATGATTACAAATGCCTTTAATTTAAAGTATTTTTATCCGCCGGGATGATATAATTGACGTCATTACGCGAGGACGTAAAAGAACTGGTGAACCGGTTTTTTGAACCGGTTCATTGAAACGAACTGTCCGAAAGAACCGGTTCGCGGAAAAGAACCGAACTTCCCATCACTAGATGAAACACTAGTGAAACACTTCGAGGCTTCGTTTGGCCATAGTCACGTGACATGGGTGTTTTGAATCACGCTTCGGATCAGTGTTTCGAAACATCTGCGCTTCGGGATCTCGCAAAGCTTCGGAACGACTGCTTCGCGGCAGCCATCCCTACTTTTTGTGGACTTCTGATTTTTGCCTCTCTGGACTTATGTTTGAGAAGATATTTTTTCTGGCTGGATTACCCTTTGTGTTTTGCCTCTCAAGGAGAGTTGTTTTTTGTTTT